GCGGGACAAACTAGCTGATTGGTTTGCCCGCAGACGGCCGGAGTCATTATTCACGCGGTGGGCCTGGCCACTTGGCGACTCGACGTGGAGGAAGATCCATCATCGTCGTGTGTGCGATGGCTTTACATAGTTCAAAGCCGAGTCGCCATTGGCCAGTCGGGGAGCAATTCTCTTGAAATGAGCAGGTCTCTGGAATGAGCTGTGAATGGTCGAAAGTTGACCATTGAAAGAATCGTTCTCCCCTCGGAACTATTTGTTAACATCTCGGGAAATAGTATGTTGTTAGCAATCACCCAAGTACCTACTACGAAGCAAAATTGCTGGCTGTGTAAGTTCCCATGGAAAAATACAAATCTATATTGACTCTTGCTGACAAACCAAACAACGCCATTATGCCAGAATATTCAGTATTTACATTCAGGACGTTTTACTTCAGATCGACGGATTCGGGATATAACTTCATTGGTACTAATGCAGACATGGCTATCTGTAAGTCACTGTGTATCATCCCCGAGTTTCCCTCGCGCAGATCTAGAGAGCTAGCCAATGGAAAATTCAAGCGTCATCAAAGTAGGCCCGACATGTACATACTTCAAAATTTTGGACTGGAGAGGCACCAATACGAAAACAGATTTATTTTTCTTATCCCCGTACTAATTAATGGAAAAAACGAATCGCCCCTATTACATTACGTATAATTGTTTTGATAACGACTGAGCAGGGCAGAGGCTGAAGAGGGCGGACTGATACTCGAAGTTAATTCCGGCCGGCGAATGTTAAGTGAACATGGCAGGCGTAACAAGATATAGCTCCATTCGGAACCAATTCAAACAAGACTGTTAACTCCGTGCATTCATGTTATGTACATAAACCAACGAGAAACTGCTGGTCATAAAGCAAATTGCATAGCCGAAATGGTTGACAATCGCCATCTTGTAGATGTAGCGGATCAGGCCATTATACGGCAAGTATACAAGACTGATGTCTTACTCTGAGGTATGACAGAATTAATAATGATAAATGAAAAAAGTGACGTACTGAAACCCCTTGATTCCATGAAAAGAGGCTTGCACACAAAACTGGGACGCTGACAAAGCATAGCGGGAACTGTGAAATAAGTTAGGCTAAACGGAATGAAAATGGTATCTTTCAACAGGCAAACAAAAACCTGTGTCATGCGCTGTCTCTGATACCTTTCTTACTAAAGACAGTGGCTTCACCGAAAACAGCTCAGGCATTAGATCGTCCGTGTAATGACCCGCCCACTTGCCTCTAAGCGAGAAGTGTCTGGCTTCATCCGCCGTACTGACCAAGATGAGATTTTACGCCAGGATAAAAAGAGGTGCATTTCCTTGTCTCATTTCCCCTCAGCCTTTGTAGCCGAGATTACCATCTATCTATCGGAAAGGCCCCGCTAAAAAATGCCCGAATAATCAACGCACTGTGTACTTGCAAATCTTTTTTTTTTTTGCCATTTTCCGAGATTATGTTGAGCGATATCAGCCGGAAAACACGCCTGGGGGCACGATAAACCCGGGCTTGATTCTCTTTGCATTTAAGACGCCAAACAAGATTTCAGTATCGTCAACCCCTCCTTCAAATCTGTCTTTGTACTCCCCGTTTCGCGCCAACCAATTTCCATCGTGCCGAATTGATGAATGTAATTTTGAGCGCGCTAGGCCAGCGCTGTGGAGTCCGTGCATTACCTCGGAGTAGGCCATCACGTACAATGTACATACACTGTGTGATTAAATCCCATGGCAGACAACTGGGTTTCAGCTTTTGTGCAAGTGAGAGTACAGCGTTCCCATCAATTCCCACACTGATTCGGTTTAAACAATCCAACTGGTTTGCTGTAATGTTGGTTTGATATTCGTTTCTATTTGGATGGCCAGCTTCTCCACACCGATCATTCCGTTCCGTGCGTTCAAGGTTTAACCTCACAAAAACTAACAGAAGCGACGTCCCTTGCAAATTTTGCGCCTCGTAGACAACACGGCTTTTACTCCCAATCCTTAGCAATGATTCCAATCAAAAAGCATCTTGCAGTGTGTAAAATCGACATGTAGCGTGAAACACAAGGCAACGTATACAATATCTGAAAGCGCCTCAAAATTGCAAGCACCCTTTTCATTCTGATGTATTACGTGCATTATTAACCAGAAAGTTGGTCTAACTTGTGCGTGGCTATTAAAGATACAAGAGTCATACCAAGCTGCATGGGAATAAGCCCTCTGCAAGTTAAATTTGAATACAATCTGGTACACAGAGTTCTTTAAATTCACATGAACATAACAATTTGGTTTCTCCATACTAAAGACAATGTTGCTATGCCTCGAGATTCGGGGTAAGCTTCTGTTCAGCTACGTCTTGCACCAATAAACTGTTTTCAGTGGTAAGATGGGCACAAAGGAACCAGTCCATTCCAGATACAGAGGTTGTTATATGCAAAAGCTTGTCCTAAGTCGTGAGGTACAGCAACGGTGTCATAGAACTCTATCTTTTAGCTCCAAGAGAGAATGGGTACTGCAAATTACCTGCCAGACACAAATAAAATAGTTTGAAATCAATTCCAGTGATAAATCCCTTGTCGAGTGATGATATGATCAGGTGTAACAGGGCGGGGGAAATGTCTTACGTCGAACCCCAAATTCATAGAATGACCCATTTGCTTTTAGCAAAAGCCGCTCGCCTCCCATTTCTGTCACGTCGGTGTGTTTTTCATATAAATATATATTTTAGCATACCGTAATTTTCAGAATATACACCGCTGCTTATACGTTGATGTTCCTGCGGCTTATACGGCAACATTTGAAGAATAAAATCGGTCACTAAACGACATGCCGTGCCTGCACACAGCCTAGGCCGCCGCCGCCAGCCACACCTGCAGCCCAGGGGCTATAGCGGCGCAGCGCCCCGGGCACTCTGGCAAGTCGGTCATGTTTTTGTTGGTTGCCATTTACATTGGCTCTACTCCCGTGCTGGAAATGAAGGAAACCAGTCAAGAGAGACTGAATAGACTTGTAAATGTACCGTAGTACCGTTCACACCTCAAAAATCGTGTGGTGCGTCCGGGTTTTTTTTGTCTTCTACGGTTGTGTAATCCACGCTGTTTATTATTTCACTGGTCACATGATAACTGTAAAAAAGTGCTGCATGGCTCACCCAGCAAGGACACTAATCCAGCCCAACAAAATTGGTAATTTCGAGGACTTAAGAAAGTTTAGGTTTAAATGACAACACTCGTTTGCACGCTGCATGCTTCACGTAACCTTGACGATTCAACACTCGAAAGTGGCGCGGACCCTAACGCTTGGCACTTCAAATTTTCTCAGAATAGGTGAAATTTAATCAAACTCTAAATACTCCAATTGATAAATGTCGATTTCATATACCCGCCACAAAGTTCCCATGAAATTTTATTTGGGCCCGATTTTCCTTTCAGAAGTGCAAAATGAACTCTTTTAAAAGCGCCCCAAATATTTTTTTTTTACAACAGCAAGGTGCGTGGAGCTTATAGTGATTTACTAGAATTTATCAACTGTGCACAACTTCTGAACTTTGTTGTGGGATTTTCTGAGATTCTGAATAATAATGTTCATATCATTAACTCGTCAACCAGCGTCTAGTTCAGGGCGCTCGGTGACCAGCAAATTCATACCAGGCCAATTTACGACACGCCGTGAATATTGAAAACTGAAGTATACAAGTGTTACATACACCCATCAGTTCCCGACAAACATGCAACTTGTTCCAAAGCACATTATGATAGGCCTTTGTATAGAAATATGTGTTCACAGTGCCAAAAGTTCCATTTTGGGGTTTGACGAACGCCTCCCTCCGTCTCTGGTCAGGCAACGAGCCTGAAAAGTGATGACCTTTGGAATTAAACAATGCACACAATGGAAAAAGTCTGATAGAGAAAATTCAAGTGATTGACGGTAAAGAAGCTTTCCGCTATATGTATCAATCTTCTCGCCTAGCAAACACATGCCCCAGAAGCAACATTTTGAAGGATCATAATTGAGCGCAAAGTGTAGCAATAATTTGCCTCTTTCGTCAACAGATCCAGCTTTCTCCCATTCATTATAGCGGAGGAGGAAATCCATTAATCAGATTTTTTTTTAGCATTGCATAAACGTATGGTGATTTGCGAACGGCATGTTGGAATGGACTACCGCGCTGGAAAGACGTAGACAGTCATCGGGCGACCGCTGGGACCCCTGTCACGTGGAAGCAAAGCATCCCTTGGACCAATCAGGTTGCACCGGAAGTTACGGTTGAGCTGCGCGGCCAGTAGAAATGACACGCACGCCCCAGACATCCGTGCGCAGCGGCTACAGCCGTTTCTAACAGACGTTTATGTCAGCCCACGTCCGAATCATTTGGCTTCGGCTTAAAATCAAACGAGATTTTATGAGAGTGGCTGCAGCCACCAGTCATATGCAATTTCAAGCCGCAGTAATTTACTTCGGCCATGGCCGTACTGCAGCAGTTTATTCTGACAGGGTCTAACACAAAATACGGAATTTTGTCATTCGTTGGGAAAGGCTATATAGAAATGCATGAGCCTTCGTAGGCCATTAACTTCGATCAGTAACGCTGCATAGGATCACTGGATGGGAGGGAGGGGCCATGTCTCGCTCCTCCCCGAAAAGGAATCATTTTTTTCAATTACATTTCCAAAAGCGTGCAAAAAGGCTTCAACTTTAGCTTCACCAGAAGTTCAGCCCTTCAGAAAAGTACAAGATTACATAAGGAAATTCCCAATGTTAGCCCCCCCATGAAATGTGGTTGCGAATACGCCCTATCACGGGGTCAAAATTGGATGGCCAGACTAAAAATAGATCAATTCATTTGAACAATGGAAATTAATACTTAACACAACAAATCTCCGCTATTTCAAACGTTCACTGACACGTTCATAATACCAGGTCGTGTTATTACTAGGAACAGTTCCTGACACCCCGGAAATAAAGACAGAATTTAGAATGACAGTGTCACGCGAGAATTCACTGTATTGTGTAACACCTTGAGTTAATTTCATAAAGAAGCAGGTTGGCAATTCAGAAATGTACACAGGTAAAATTACGCACAGCGAATTGGGAAAAGGGGCTGGTTTCTGACGGTTTTAATAAACAATAATACGCGTACACCAAACACAGATGTCACATGGCAATACCAGGCACGCGCGCCACAAGATCGTGTGTAGACGAAGCTATCAATTTATATTCCATCCTGTTCAAGAGCCAAAAATCCATTTGCTAGATGTGTGAGCATGAAATTGAACAGAGAACCCACGAGGCACAATGTTTTGGTTGTGATTTCATTAATCTCTAGTTGTAAGGGATACCGGAAGATCAACTGTGTGGAATGAGAAGGTATCCACAACAGTTGTTTAGTATTAACCAAACCAAGTCAAAACACTCCGGAAAAACACTACAGCTGATGTCAGCTAAAATCTTCAGCTTGAGAATCTCCATGAGACTATATCAAAGGGGTGCTTAATATCCAACACAGCCGAGGATGTATCCCCACAAGTGAGGATGACCGATGTGCATGTACCCACATCCGGTGATAAAAAGCAAACACCGAGTGAAATGTACCCACCGGATCACACAACACCCCCACTGAAAGAACCCTCAAAACATGGGTGGAAAACTTCTTCCAAACGGTCACATTTTATTCCCACCACAGGTTGGCATGTACCAAAATTGGTTAAACACAAGTAAATCTTTACATAGGGTGGATCTATCCGCTGAGGTAAAAAAAAAAACCTTACAGGGGTTTCAATGAGTCTCCCCAAGACGGTGAACTCACGTCAGTTAGGGGGAACAATTAAACTGGGCATGGCAGCAAATACCCGTGAAATCACAATTACACCCATATTAGGGCATTTGATCTAGTAAACCTGGGCTGTAATTAGACTGGGAGCTTACAGAACAGCCACAAACAATCATCATGTGTAACGGGACTTCAAGAAGGAAACATCTTGGTGCTTACTCCATGGAGCTACTGAGTGCACATATTTGCTTAACTCCGAAAACATTGCTTAGCACAATCAGGATACAAACCAAAAAAAGACATGCACTGCGTACTGCTCTCGGTTGGCTCACTGCCGATTTTCACCAAGCACACGAATATGCCAAGCTTAGCAGCTCTAGGAAACAATATAAAAAAGCACACTTAATTGAAGGAGAGACCTGGCTTCTAAATCTGCACCAAGGAAAAGAAAGCCAAAACAGATACATTTTTAAAGCCATGTTTGAATTCGGGAAGTTGCCAAGTTGCTTTTACTGGGGTGCTTGAGTCAAATAGTCAACTCAGTCGTGCTAGATAGTATACAAGTTCACTCTTTTTTTTCCCCACAGACTTGAGTGTCCAATGCCCCGTTGGCGAGGAATTTCCATCGTTTGTTTTCAGAAGGAAAACGCTGCATGGTACCTGGATGAAATCTGCTAGCTGGTGAGGCACCTTGGTCTTTTCGTTCCCTTAGATGTTGATCACCCGGCTGAGTTTCTGGATTCTGTTCAGTAGGATATCACCCTGTTTGATTGTGGCCTGTCAAAAAAAAACATCCTTATGTTTTAGGTTTTATTGTTACAGTCAGCTGTTCCTAGCTCTTTTGAGTACTAACCTCAATTTGGTATGTCTCAATTTGTGGTATTAGAAAAGTTAGAAGCTTTGAGATGAGGTGTTGAAGAAAGTACTTCCCCACGAGGGCATATCCAGAACCAACTTTATTTTTGGAAGTAAGGGGAATTTTATTGGTGAGGGAGGCATGAGTTGAGAAGACTTCTACAGGCTTTATCATTAGCGGGGCTAACTTTAGGGGCATTTTATACCCATTGTGGAGGAAAAAAATGAAAATTTCTCAAAAATTCATCCCTTTGCTACGTTTTATAAACGTTTTATAAGTTAACAAAATAATGAATGTTCGAATGTTTGAATCTCTGGAAATATAGAATTGTGGGGTCAACAATGCTTAACTCCAGAGAAGTCCCGAGAGATCACAATCCCCTGGACTGGTATCTGACCTGGTACTGGTAATTCTTGCTGTCTGGCCGGTTGGTTTCAACGATGCCTCCGACTTTATCGATTTTACAGTGCAGGCGTCCGGCAGCAATGAAACGGGACAGCTCCCTGACCAAACAAAATAACAGCAGCGATGAAAGATGAGCAATAACAGAAAAAAAATTCAAGATACTCTTGCACTGAACAGAGAGGTTAGGATGCTACCGACTGCACATTGTATTCTTAACCAATTCAATTAAATTCTTTGCACTTAATGAGCCCACAAGAGGCATCAATCCCACGTATAGTAACGGCAACAGAAATTTTCCTTTCACAATCCTACCAAATCCTCCAAAGCCTCCTGGTGGGCTTTGAAGGATCTGGTATCAAAGCCAGTTAGGGTGCTTAGTTTCAATAATAAAGGTTGACTAATAATACAGGAACAAATATCTGAAAAAAAAAAAGCTGGCACAAGTAGGGGTAACTAGTCTTGAGTGCGAGTCCTTTTAGAAAATAACTGTACATTTTGTATTCCTTCTAATTCAAGTACATGTAACTCAGCTTACATTGCCCTGGGGACTTCAGCCTGATTTCATGTACATGTACCTAATCTTACATTTCGGTTTACCAGCAATTTCGGAAGAAAAACTCATTCACAATACAGCTGGTCCACTTATGAACAAACAAAGTATGTGAAGGTAACAGACTGGTATCACTGCGTGCAAAGATCTTATGGCGCAGTGTACAATTTACATGTACAAGGTTTGCTTGAGTGTGGATAAGCCATAACGACCTGCCCGCACTGTATGGGGCTCTCTGACCATGGTGGCACATCCTTCACAGCATAACCTACATGTACACTGTAAACATCTACTGCCGTAATGGTTTCCAAAGGCACAGAGTATGTCAGAGAAATCCTTCTTTGCTGTACCACTCCGTGTCATTAAATTTCTCAAGAGGATTCAGTCTTCTACCTGAATATCGTTTGTCAACCCAATGCAAGCAGTGGATATCAACACTTGTGACTAATGTAAGCTATTTTGGCAAGTAACACAAGAGGCACGAGAACAAGTAGAAACAAGACTGTTTCAAACCAACTCCAGACAGGCTGATCATTTTAAGACTACTCAACAACCCCACTGCTGCTAAGGTCTAACTTACAGACCACAGACTGGAAAACCTTGAGGAGTGGCTAACAATGCACAGACTCCTTTAGGACCTGTTACAGCACTGCAAAGCAATAAGCCTGCTCAGATGCTACAAATATCAGACAGGCAGTGGAGAAGCCTGCCCCTAAGAGCGGACATTTTGAAATCAAGACACCTTCGGATTAATAAGAGGAAAAGTCGCACAGTCAATCTCGTTATGAGCTCAGCGTGGCTACTCACCAAGGGCTACATGCGCACGTACAAATTAGAAGATAATCCACTTTTTTCATAAAAAGTGTCCTTTGCAAGATATGCCTCCCCCCCCGCTGTGCCCAGGAAATGTCAAATGCCGTGACAACCATGACAACCTTCCTCAGGGAGATGGGAGGGGGGGCTGTTACAACATGATCTGCGCAAAGTCAAATCATTGTGGCATTGTGTTGCTCCTTCACGAGGCTCACCGTTTGCGAGAGCAAAGCGCATTGTGTAACCTTGCGGGAATTAACAGGCTTGCACGGAAGATCCCATTAACTGTCGATTTGGCTACTTAAAATGTTGTCAGCCACTGATATGCATGGGGGAGGGGGGCGAGAGCAGTCCCGCAGAAAAGAACTTTTCCCTTTCTCCGGCCAAGTGTTATCGCATCACACAGACCCCTGCGTAATTTCCCCGGCCATAACAGCATCAGCGCGCTCAATCAAATCAAACAGACAAAGGGCACGGGAGGGGGGGGGGTTGTTTAGCCCCTGACGCATTCCTGTCACCGCGGTGACCTTCATCGGGCGAGAAGTACGGAAAAGAGAGAGAGAGAGGGAATACAGAGCGAAAGAATAAAAAAGCCAAAATGAAGGGAGACGTGTTTGAATGGCAGAAAATTCCCTTCTCTCTTTTACTTGTCCCCCTGGATGCTACGTCCTCCCACAAAAGCAAATTGACAACGCCACTAAGAGCGTAGCGTACACTCCGGGCCCCAGCAAACAAACACTAATCGCAGGTGCAAATTGCAAACTCAATTTGGCTCCCCCCTCTGTTTTTTTGTTCCCCCTTACTGATTGTGCAGGGCACAAAGGCAGCAGGGGCCATCATGAGCCGTTGATATTGGCTGCGTTAAGGACAGCCAGACAATGCAATTGCAGCATCGGGTATTAATAACGTCAATATTTCTTTTCTTTTTTTTTTTTTGGTGGGGAGACAGCTAGACAACAAAGGGCCAGTGGGGGGGATATAAGATATTTACACCTAACTCGATTGTGGTGGCCTCTATGCACAGCTCGTGATGCCTGCTGGACTGGCCAACGGCACAGTCGTGACCACTTCCCTCTTGCAACAAATGGCTCTGCTAAGATGGGGAGCATTCTCACGCGTCGCTATAACACCTTGTGTATATGTGCTTATCTTTTACAAAGGACTTCATGAATGAGAATCTAGTTGCATGTGCCTTTTTTATTGTTTGTTTTTCTTACAGGGTCATCACTTCAAATGTCTTGAGTGCCTTTCACAACTTGGAGGACGCGCAAACAGATCTACAGTACTGGACAAAAAAGTTGGAACACCTTGTGGGAAGCGCGGTGAAAAGATCCCCCCCTCTCCCCCGTTCAATGTTGCGGTCATTTAGTGGACCAAGATTCCGCCCAGCTTACCCAATGAGAAACAACATTCGAGATTTGTCCAGGATTGTTGCACTCTGTGAGCAGGAGGACGGCTGATGGTTAAACGTATTGCTAACAGACGTGTATGCACCCTAGTGCCCCAGATGAGTTGTATCTGGAGAAGTCAGTGGAACAAAACCTGTGCTGAATTGGGTTCTTGGCTGCTGCACACAGCCGGTTGTGTGGCAAACCTCGCTCTCCTGGAGTCTTGCAAAGTATGATTATATCCATATGCCTGCTTAGCTTTCATTGAGTCCATCTCGGTGTACAGGCAGCAAAGTAAGGAAAGTGTATGAAACGGGCACGATTGAAATGACTACGGCTACTAATTATGGTGCATGGTATAGTGAAAACAGAAGCCGTAGACTCAAAGTACCTGATTCGAACACGGCATCACATTACAGGCAAGCTACATGTTCATGTATAGAGGTTTGGTACATGTACGTCTTTGCATTAAACTTACAATCTGCCGTGAACTTTACACAAAAGCAGTCTTTGTGTCACAAATATCTGTGCAACTCGATAGTTGAAATAAAACCACAAGTGCATTTGTTTCAACTGACATCCATGATTGATGTCTCCTCTTTCGTTTCATAAATAGCAAGCTCGATCAGTGACAAATGTAGACCAATAGTCGATTTAGACTGATAACCTGCTCATTGAACATACAATGTACCAGCACCAGGCAAAATTGACCAGTGGTTAACAAACTGCCACAGAGATCAAACTTGTCCCAATGTGTTGAGTTTGCTTCTTCACGCGAGACAGCGCCGTTGCAACCTGCGTTCCAGTGGGCAATCACAGCAACTTGGCCGCTTTAGTGGCACCTGCAGTACTGAACTTGTTATCGAACACTCTGGAAATACTACTCCCCCCCCCCCAAAAAAAAATGTAAGTCCGCGTTTGCATGTAGACACATGCCGGCACTTGTACCAACCTGCGGTGAGCGGGCTCTCCGTTCATGGTATTACTCTTAATGCTCATGGATGTCTAAATTCATGCTGGCTTTTGAACCGAAATACCGATGATAAACCACACACCAGATTTGCCTAAGAAGTCCAGAAACGAGGCAAACATCAAAAGAATGATACAGGGGGCGAAAAAAAAATTCCCATTATGGGAACACTTGAAATGCACACTTTTAATGCACCATGGGAAAAGGAAGATACCCTCACCATCACAGGAAACCAAATGTCAGCGTACTGACTTTCGCAGATACACGTTGAGGCACAGTCCACACACTACACCTTCTCCTTGCCTTGCCGTTTTTAACCACTTGTTCCCGGGGAGCCTGGTTTCAGACACGTATTCTTTATATGCACAGCCGAGGTGCCAAAAATCGGACAAGATTAGAGTAGCTACCATTTGTGTGGGTGTAAGTGTCCAGTAAATGAAGACATGAATTTTTAAAACAGAAAAAAAATGAAAAAATACTCCGGCTCAGCAGAATCAACATTTATAAATTCCCCCGGCCCCAAGTGGTTAAAGGTTACATTGGGTCGAGGGAGGTATCCACCCTAAGCTGAAGTGCGCCCTCACCGGCGAAATAAAGACAAACAGTATCAAGCTTTTCCAACCATGTTCTCACGCGTTCAACGTGCACGTGAAGACCATACATTCCACAATTAATTTTTGCATGAGCCCAGTGTGCTCTATGTCAAACACGCACAAACTTATGCGCCTATGCGGCGAGTTCGTACCAAAGGGTTGTCAATTTTATTTTTAAAAAGAGCCCTCTTTAGTTCCTGCTCCGAGTGGATAAGCAACAGACTGATTTTTTCTAAAACAATTTACCAACAAGTTGTATGGCTTTTAAACTGACACATACAAGTAGCTCACTTGCTCACTTTCATGTTTGTGAATTTTAAGAATTTCCCCCCCCCCAGAAGAAATCTATAGAGGCTTTGTGCGGTAGCCATCATGCAGGGCAGTTCAGGGCAGGGCACACTCTGTGGCGGCCTGCAATATGGCAGCAACGCAAACCCTCTATAGGCTTCAGTTGTGTGGCACTGACTTTCCATGCACAAAGGCAAACCAACTGCGTGTTTATTCCTAGACATACTGATAGAAAATATTCCATAATAATGGCACACTAAGCGATGCATGAGCTAGACAAGTTGAGGCAGGCTGTTTTACCTGCATTAACCACTTGATGCTGGATGACGCATAAACACACATATTTTTCCTTGTTTGTTCCACGGAGGACGCGTACATTCGTTTAAGAATTCTTTTTTCATGTCCACAGTTAACGTATTAATGCATCTTGCTTGGTTGGGTCAAAGCAAGGTTGAAGAATTTGCAGGTAAAAAAAAAACTCACCCCCAGTAGCTTTTTCAGGGAAGAAAATGCGATGTTAACTGGGGAACATAGTCTGCTGGCCTCCTCGAATATGCTTACACATTTAAGTCCTATGGCATGGGGGAAGCATTCTTTTCAAGGAATGGGGGAAAGCAATGGTTTTGGCTTTAGCAAATCAGTGTTAAATTGCCTTCTCCCCAATTGTACACGCCATTTCCTCAACTTTGATCTCAGCAAATCTGGTCTGAACCCTGCCCAAATCCACATGTGGATTATGTTTTCAGTCCCTTCGTGAGTGATTCTATAGGGTTTTTGCAAAGAATACATGCATATCATGAGTTTTCCTCCCAACTCTAAACCTGAAGGCATTTTCATTCTCTTCTTTCAATGGGTTTTGACAGGCTTGCAGGCTGCAGGGACATGGGCGCCTTTCGAGGAAATTTTGGTTTCATTACTTGAAATAAATAAAAAGAATAAGGGAGAGAAATACATGTCGGTCTCAAGTGGTGTGGTAGTCAACTCCATCACAAGTCCCTGCAAGTCCATCACGGGCCCTTCGTAAGCCATTCAGTCTTAAGCCTAGTCTCTAGCTATTCAAATAAGCCATGACAAAAGAGCATTCCTTTGTCACTGTTCAACCTGTTTACTTATGACAGTCTTGCGAAAGGTCTCATGACCGGACTTGTGGAATGACTTGACTACTGAATTGGTCTCGAGTAGAGGGTAAGGTTATAGACAAATCCAGCGGTGTTTAATGACAGAAAGCATTGTGGGGGTTTGCATGGAATGGCTTTCA